TACTTTATCAATCAGATTACTAACGTCACGATAATATAAACCATTATGAAACACTACATTATTAACACTACCTAAAAACAGTATTTTGTCAATCAGATTACTAACGTCACGATAATATAAACCATTATGAAACACTACATTATTAACACTACCTAAAAACAGTATTTTGTCAATCAGATTACTAACGTCACGATAATATACACCATTATGAAACACTACATAATTAACACTACCTAAAAACAGTATTTTGTCAATCAGATTACTAACGTCACGATAATATAAACCATTATGAAACACTACATTATTAACACTACCAAAAACAGTATTTTGTCAATCAGATTACTAACGTCACGATAATATAAACCATTATGAAACACTACATAATTAACACTACCTAAAAACAATTATTATCAATCAGATTACTAACGTCACGATAATATAAACCATTATGAAACACTACATATTAACACTACCTAAAAACAGTATTTTGTCAATCAGATTACTAACGTCACGATAATATAAACCATTATGAAACACTACATAATTAACACTACCTAAAAACAGTATTTTGTCAATCAGATTACTAACGTCACGATAATATACACCATTATGAAACACTACATAATTGTGGTTAACGTATTGGGCTGCGGATTGGAAGCGATGCTTCTGAACACATTCTGCACTTTCAGCTGTAGACGCGTTATAAAAGTAACAGTCGATTCAATTATTCTCCTCGGGGACCTAGACTTCTAATTCAACTAATCAATTAATTAGATATAATTAACATTATTATTATGGAACTCAGTTTTTCAAATCGTATATAACCAACATAAAGCTCTGGTATCACTTAATAAACTAAATATAACCAATATCGTTTTGTTAAAGGATTTAATTAACATACTGTAATCATTGTGTCTTTGTTTGACAGCGTTTAACAATATAGTTTAATCAGACACAAGCAACGCTACAGCTTAACCAATGCTGGCGTATAGCATATCTTACCAAAACAAATGTCCCCCATTGGCACAACGGTATGTCTGCGGACATATACTGCTAGAAACCGGGTTTCGATACCTGTAGTGGACAGAACTTTGAGCTTAATAACAAACAAAACAAAAATATATACAGAACATGGCAGTGAAGGTAAGAATGTTTGATCAGTCAAAAATCATCAGCTTTATTAAAATAACATCGTGTAATTCTCTTAAGTAAAATTAGTTCGGCTTTAAAATACGAGTAGAAATTTAAGACGTGTAATAAAAACTAAATAATAGTAAATACTATAATAAAGCACTGCTGGACTTTTTTTAATAAGGAAATAGAATAAAAATTTGGTAATAACTGTATATTGTATAGACCCTATAAATAATAAAGAATTAAGAAAGTTAAATTATTTAAAGAGGGCGTTGTTAACATATTCATTGGCGGTCAAATAAAGGTGTGTATGAGGTTAAAGAAATAGAAAAGAAAATACTTTAGTGTAAATGATTAATATTTTGAATATCAGCACCGAAAATTTTTATTTATTAAAATGAGCATGAATATATGGTTACAAATAATTTTGAGATCTCCAAATAACTGGCAGATTTAAGATTTGTTGAACACATTTATTGTTGAGTTCTCATTTTGAGTCCCCATACATCCATATTCCTTTGAGTGAAGGAGGTTATTCAAAGAGCAGCAGATTTGGGTTTTTTTCAAAATGATACAATTGTAAAATGTTTAACAAGATCTATCTTTATTGAGTTCTTAAATCTTGCTACTTAGAAATATAATTTCAATTTTAACAGCAGTATTTATAATCAAATCGACGATGTTGCTATGGGCTCAAAATTAGCGTTTTGTTTACCAAACCCTTCTTATGTTGTAGTGAAAACAATGGTTGATGGTTGAATAACTATCCGGAAAGTTAAATCTTTATTTTTAAGGGCATGTGAAATTGTTATTACTTATTAGAGCTTCTAAATAAGTAGCATCATTATATCAAGTTTACAGTTGAAGAAGAAAATGGGTCAGATTATTCTTCAGATGTTAGTATCAACACCTTTCGTGATAATTTAGAAATAGGAACATATAAATTACTGTACGTATTATATTTTACAGAACTTAACATATCAATCAGTATTTATACAAAGCCAATAGATGGCGTTAAAAATTATTCTTATCTATCAATACTAAACAACTTTGTAAAAGGTTTTAAAATTGAGTGTACACCCCTCATAAGTCTCTCGTTTATAGGTAACTATAGTTAGGTTTTGAGGAATAAAATCAAAAATATATTGAAATCCAACTATCCACAAATTTCAGTGTCTGTAGCTTTAAAATCAGTGTTGAGAATAAAGAACTTTCTAAAGATAGACGACAGAAACAAC